TCAACCTCATGTTTGTTGATAATTTCTACCTCATCTAGGTTGAATTTATCTCTGATGTTTTTCCTGCTCCCTTGCTGGTGAGGACATTAATAAACAAGGAGGATCTGACAGCCCGAAGCTTAAGAGAATACAAATACGGGGCAGGCAAAAGTATGTTTACAGTTGTTCATATGAAAAATATTGCCCTGATTTCAGTGCCAGTGGCTCCAAGACCACTGTGATTTCTGTCATGGGCACCATCGTGAAGAAGGCCAAGCAGTGACCTGAGGGACCAGCTTGGGGTGGCTGGACAGTCTCCTTCCCACTGAGGGGAGGAGCCCTGCCAGGATTTGATAAGACTGCAGCCCAGTGACTGATGGCCTCAGGCAGAGTTCGCTTTGTGTATTTCAGGACTGAGATCTGCTCCCCAAAGGCCATCCCAAGAGGAGCTTCTGTGTGGCATTGTAGCTAAAAGGACACTGTGGCAGAGGAGTGGGGTGCTGTGGACAGTGCCCTTGTACCTCAGGGTCAGCTGCCCTATTAAAAGTGCTGATTTTGCCCTGGTCAGTTTGGCTCAGCGGTTAGAGCGTCGGCCTGTGGTCTGGAGAGACCCGGGTTCGGTTCCCGCTAAGGGCACGTACCTCGGTTGCAGTTTGTCCCCGGCCCTGGTCGGTCGTATGGGTGGCAGCCACTCGATGTGTCCCTTTCACATCGATGTTTCTCTCTCTCTCTCTCTCTGTTCCTCTCTCTCCCTCCCACTCTACCTGAACAAGGAATAGAAGGATGTCCTCAGGTGAGGATTAAAAAAAAAAAAAAGTGCTGATTTTTATATTGTGAACAAAACAACAACAAATAGAAAAAGAACACCATGATTAATAAATACTAATACAAGAATAAATCTGGTGTTTCACATACAACTACAACCTACTTTTGCCCCATCCCTGTATGTATGTATGTACACACACACACACACACACACACACACACATTCTGTGTATCAATATATGCACTTTTAGGAGTAACATCTCACATTTCAGATGTTGATTCTAGAAACTTACATAACCTACATTATTACACAAAGCTATTTAGACAGTTTACAGGGCTTTTAGCAACAGGAATATTTTCGCAACAGGCAGTTTAGACAGACCACTTGCTTCCTGCAGCTCATCCCAGGTACCTGGTGGCGTGGTGCACAGTGCATAATCAAGATGTGGTCATTCTTATGTATAATTAATCAATACATAAAAATACTTTTGAGTTTGACAGTGACTGCTGATGGTTTTATCTTATCAAGGAAGTACAAATCTGTCAGTACATATTTATGAAGCACCTACTACGTTGAAATTATTTGCACTTATAAAACCTTTTTCTTTCCTCTTCTCTTTGAGTCTCCTCTCCACTTCCCCTTCCCCAGAGCAATGGGAGCTACCACACAGCAGGGTTCTTTGTTTACTCATGGTTAACATTTTTTTGTTGTTGTGGTTAATCTTCACCGGAGGATATTTTTCCATTGATATTTTTTTAGATAGAGTGAAAGAGAGGGAGGGTAGAGGGTGGAGGGGGGGCAGAGAGAGAGAGAGAGAGAAACATCGATGTGAGACACTTCGATTGGTTGCCTCCCACAGGACCCTCACAGGGGCTGGGGATCAAACCTGCAACCCAGGTACATGCCCTTGACCAGGAATTGAACCTGCAACCCTTCAGTCCACGGGCCAATGCTTTAGCCACTGATCAAAACCGGCCAGGGCTCATGGTTAATATTTTCTGAAGACCTCAGATGCTCTCTCTTGGTTTGTGTCTTGAAGCAAGGGTTTCAGGAGTTTGGGTCAAAGGTATGAATTCTTCCTAAACTACAGAAGGAAAAGGAGGAATTGTTTATTTTCTTTCTGTTTTTAATTTAAGATACTGACTTGCGGAGTTGAGTAATGTTAAATGGGTAGAAGCACACGTTATATTTTTAAAGACTGGTTTCTCCTGCTATGAGCATTTATTCAGGAATTCAGAGACTCAGATCCTGGCCTTAGTTCTAACATCAACTTGCTAAGTAATTCTGGGGAAGTCACTCTGAGGCCTCTAAGCCTCAGTTTCCTCATTTGAAATAAAGAGCTGGAGTTAGATAATTTCTCCAGCTCCTCCCAGTTCTGGAGTCCTAGGATTTCCTTGTACTGGTCTGTAAAATAAATTGGGGTAACTACGAATGAGGACCATGTAGAAGTCCGACACGGAAGCCACCCCAATGAAACCGTAAGAGCGCGTCTCTGGCACTTTCTCAGATTACTGGAATCCAGCAGACCTGTCACTTGCTCCTCAGCAGAATGATTCCTTCCAGCGTTTTATACACCACAAGATCCTGGCAGTTCAGCTGTCAAGAATCCAGAGACCACTACATTTTTGGCAGCTTCACAGGTCTAAAGTCTTTCCTGTTTGATTTTATTCAAGACCCAATAAAGCAAAGAGTTGTGCAAAAGTAGAAGCTTTCTGCCCCAAGTGTTTACCCCCACAACCACTGTTACTTTTATTCCTCTTGACTTAAATTTAGCTGTGTGAGAAGAGCCACTAATGTGGTGGGGGTGGGGAGTGGTGTATATTTGTTTTCTCAAGACACAAGGCCAATAACTCCTTTATCTACCTACTGTCTCTCTCACCTCTCAGCCCTCATCCAAATAACCATCCACATTTCCCCTCTCTTTCTACATCCACTGAGGAAAATTTCGCTTCTCTTTCAAATAAGAACCATCACAAATTACTTCCTTGCATTGTGTGGCAATAACCTCACTTTTCAAGGAAAAAACCCCCCAGGATTTCACATAATAATAGACAAAAATAAACAGATAATTTAAAATAATATTGTTTTGCCTCAGGGAATGCTAGCTTTCTCCTGTTGAAAATATGGTGATAGAAAGAGAAGAAAATAAACATATACTGACTAGCTGATACATGCCAGGCACTTTATATACCTCATTTGATATAACATCTACTACAACCTTGTTGCTAGGTATTGCTATACCTGTTACTGTTGAATAAAGCCCTGAGGTTGATTCGGAGGAATGAAATTATTTGCCCCTATTTAAACAGAGCCTATAGAGTTTCCATTATATCATGCTGCTCACATTATTCTGCCACTATCTGAAAACTATTAAAAAAAACAAACATATTTCCTTTCTTGATTGAAATCAGTTTTAAAATCTCCTATTTCAACAAAAGTGCTTCGGCAATTCAAAAGGGAAAGGAAAAGTAAATCTTTTCAAAATGCAATTGCATACATACAGCATAATGTACAATAACATAATTATGCACTTCCTTTGAATGGATACTAATAAGCACTTAACATTAACTAAATAACTGCTGCCTACCATTACTTCACTTGTCCAGCTTTCTGCATATGAACGGATTTTTGTATCTATCATCTATTAAGGATACAGTTCTATTAAAATCATTTTCTTCACCCTCAGAACATTTTTCCATAGCCAACTATAAATATTTACTCTCATTTGACAAGCAAGAGCCCTTTAAAGGAGAGAAAAACAGTCTGCATAGCTTGTTTAAACTTTTGAACTTTACTTCATCCACAAGAACTATAAAGAACCAGCAGTTTCATAAGCACAAGTCAATGTCATCCAACATTCATTCATTCGTTTGTATATTCATTCATGTGTTCTCTTTAATGTAAAAATAATCTGAATTACTGGAACAAAATTCAGAAGCTAGATTAAAAAAAAATCACAACCAGAGAACATCAGAGTAAAATATCAACCCTAGGAAGACAAAAAGTAAAGTGCAAACATTTGGCAATACTGGGATGATTTGTACATCACAAATTGGACTTGGAGCCAATTATGAATACACACACACACATGCTCAATTACACAATTCTAATGATCTATGAGAGAAAAAAGTTCTGGTTAATTAATTGAGGTAAAGCTTTTACCACAATTTACACCTAAAAGACATTTTTCAAAAATGAAACCTAAAAAAAAAAAGAACAAAATTCAAATAGGAAAGGTCCTAAACATCCCCTTTCAACCAGATACAGTGTATCTTTGGGAAAATCCATTGTAATGATGAGTGAATTGAAAGGTGAAGACTTTGCTATATATTGAGAATACGTAAGGATACAACTTCTGGCATTTTTAAGATCTGTTTTAATATAGTAAACATCTAATGTGTGAATCAATGTTAATGTATTATTTATCCATTACAATAAAAAACTTACATTTCATAATTTAAAATTATGAAGATGCTTAATTAATTTTATATATATATGTGTGTGTGTGTGTATATATATGTGTGTGTGTGTGTATTATATATATTCCTATTGGTTTTAGAAAGAGAGGAAGGGAGATGGGGAGAGAGAGAGAGAGAGAAACATCAATCGGTTGCCTCCAGTATGTGCCCAGACTAGAGATTGAATCGTTAACCCTTCAGTGCACAGGATGACATCCAATCAACTAAGCCACACTCAGCCAGGGCTGCTGAATTAATTTCAAACAAATAAAAGCAAAACAAAATGAAAAACGAGGTATTAGCTATGAAATGAGCTTTATACCCTTAATTCAGAAACGGCACGACATAATTTTTAAAGAAATTTTTGCAAGAAATATACATGTAACAGAAACACAAAAACCATAAATCTATACTTTTGTGAAATACTGTAAAGTAAAAATTCATGTAACTACTGAGCTGGTCAAGAAGCAGCATTTTTCTAGGACCTCAGAAGACTGCCAGCATCACTGTCCAAAGGTAACGACTATCCTACTATCCGTGGTACTTATACCTTTGCATTTCTGGTTTTATCACTTAATAATGCTCTAGTTCATCACACTCTAAATTTATTATATAAATGAGTCACAGAGTATATATTTCTTGTGTCTGGCTTTTCTCCTCTCATTATGTTTTTAAGATTCATCCATATTGTTGATATAGCTATAATTTGATCACTTTAATTGAAGAATAGAATTCCACTGTATGACACATAACTTATCAACTGCACTATTGATGGACATTCGGGTTGCCTCTAATTTAGAACTTTTATGAATGCCAGTAAGAACATTCTGGATGGTATATATTTTGGCATGGAATGGTTGAGTCATGGAAAATGTTCTCCTTCAACTTGACAAACTAACACCCAACAATGTTCAAAACCAGCTCAACCAACTTACACTCCCACCAGTAGTTTGGAGTGCTCACGTTGCTCCATGTCTTCACCAACCGTTGCTATCACCAGACTCTTTAATTCTAACCACTCCAATGAGTATACAGTTGCATCTTATTGAGATTTTGTTTTCTATATCCTCACCCGAGGACATTATTTTGCATGTATCTTCAGATAGAACGGGAGGGAGAGAGGGGGAAGAGAGAGAGAGAAACATCGATGTGAGAGAGACACAGCAACTGGTTACCACCCACACGTTCCCAACTGGGGCTGGGGCCAAACTGCAACCAAGGTACATGTCCTTAGCAGGAACCGAACCCAGGACTCTCTGGTCCATGGGCCAACGCTCTAAACGCTGAGCCAAACCGGACAGAGATCTTATTGAAATTTTAATTAGCATTTTCCTGACTGTTAATGAGCATAAGCACATTTTTTATATTAACAGTTACATTATTCCATTATTTGTGAACTGCCTATCAAGAAGTTTGCTCATTTTTCTACTGAGTTGCTGTCTTCCTTTATTGATGTATAGAACTTCTGTATACTTTGGATATAAGTTCTTTTTATAGTTATATATGTTCCAAATATATTCTGCTATTCCACAGCTTGCCTTTTCATTCTCTTAATGATTTTTTTTTTAATGAACAGAGACTCTTAATTTTAATGTTTGTCAGACTTATCAATTAAAATTTTTTTTTTCCTTTTTATTGATTTTAGAGAGAGAAGAAGGGAGAGGGAGAGAGAGATAGAAACATCAATGAAAGAGAACATTGATTGGCCGCCTCCTGCACGCCCCCCAGTGGGGATTGGGCCCACAACCTGGATATGTGCCGACTGGGAATCAAACCAGCGACCTCTTGGTGCATGAGTTGACGCTCAACCACTGAGCCACATCAGCAGGGCAAACTTATCAATTTTTTTAAAGATAAAGTACTCTTTATATCCTATTTAAGAAATCTTTCACTACCTTAAGGCCATGAAGATATTCTCATATTTTCTTCTGAAAGTCCTTTTGGTTTGTTTGCCTTTGACATTTATGTCTATAGTCCATGTGAAATTTATTTCTGTGTATGCTGTGGAGTGGGGATTCAATATTACAATTTTCTATGTGGATAACCAACCACCAGAGCACCATTTATAAAAGAGAGTCCTTTCCCCATGGCTCTGCTGTACCTACTCTGTCATCAATGACTGGTCTACATATGCATGAATCTGTGTCTTGGACCTCTGGTACTGATCTGTCTGTTCTTGCATAAAAACCACACTGTCTTAATTACTATAACATTACAATAAGTCTTGATGTCTTGTAGAACACGCCCTCTTACCTTGTTCTTATTTAAGAGTGTCTTGGCTCTTCATTGTATTTTCTATTTTCATAAAATTTTAGCATCATCTTTAGTTCTATTTTTTTTTTAAAAAAAACCTATTAACATCTTTATTGAAATGGCACTGGATTTATATGATTAGTTTGAAAAGACGTCATCTTTAAAATATCGAGTCCTTCTAATACACTGCTGGTGGGAATGCAGACTGGTGCAGCCGCTATGGAAAACAATATGGTGCTACCTCAAAAAATTAAAGATTGACCTTCCATTTGACCCAGTGATCCCATTGCTGGGAATATACCCTAGGAAGCCTGAAACACCAATCAGGAAGAATATATGTACCCCCATGTTCATAGCAGCACTATTTACAATAGCTAAGATCTGGAAACAGCCCAAGTGTCCACCAGTAGACGAATGGATCAAAAAGCTGTGGTACATATACACAATGGAATACTATGCAGCGGTAAGAAAGAAAGATCTCTTATCCTTTGAGACGACATGGAGGGACCTGGAAAGTATTATCCTAAGTGAAAGAAGCCAAGCAGAGAAGGACAAATACCACATGATCTCACTTATATACGGAATATAATGAACATAACAGTCTGAGGAATACAGTAGACCCAGACACATGGAAGTGGGGCACAGACTGACATCCCTCAGAAGAGGGGATGGGGGGTGGGGGGGGTGGGAAGAGATAAACCACAGAACTTATATGCATGTATGCATGACCAATGGACATGGACAACTAAGCCAGGGACAGGGTGGAGGGGGGGTGGGGTGGGGGGTGCCAATGGGGTAAAAAGGTAAAATATCTGTAACAAAAAAATAAATTAATTAAAAAATTAAAAAAAAAAAATAAAAATAAAATAAAATATCGAGTCTTCAAATCCATGAAAATGATATAGCTCTCCAATTATTTAGGTCTTCTTTTATTTTCTCGCAATAATATTTTATAGTTTTCTGCATAAAAAGCTTGCGACAGGTTTTGTGAATTTATCCCTAAGTATTTGATATTTTGTGATGTTACTGCAAGTAGTATTTAAAATTTCTTTTAGTTTCTAATTGTGCTGAGATCTGGATATACAATTGATTTTTGTATAATGAATACAATTGGTGATAGCAAGCCTCCTTGTCTTATTCCCAGTCTTAAACAGAACGCTTTACCAAGAGCATGAAGATTTGGAGATATCCCATAATGAGATTCAAGAAGTTCCATTCCTGTTTCCTAATATTTTCATTTTATTATTATTATTGTTTTTGGATATATACACATATATATACATATATTTTATAATCCTCACCCGAAGACATATTTATTGATTTTAGAGAGAGGGGAAGAGAGAGATAGAAAGAGAAAGAGAGAGAGAGAGAGAGTGAGAGAGAGAGAGAGAGAGAGAGAGAGAGAGAAGAGAGAGAGAAACATCAATTGGTTGCCTTCCGATACAAGCCCCTACCAGGGATGGAACCCGCAAACTGGGCATGTGCCCTGACTGGAAATCGAACCCGAAACCTTTTTGGTGTATGAGATGATGCTCCAGCCAATCGAGCTACTCAGCCAGGACTGTGTACTGAGATTTTAAAAAATTATTAATGATACTGAGTTTTATTGACTGAGTTTTTCTGAATCTACTGATCTCATGACTCTTTTCCTTTAATTTGCTAATGTCATGAATTAAATTATTCTAATGTTAAACCAATACTGCACTCTGGGCAGGGAGTAACTTTTATATATATTTTTATATATTCTGAGTTTGCTAAAATTGTTATGGTTCTTTTATATCTATATAATGTATCATTTTAAATAGTAATTTAAGTATCTAATGTTTATACTTATCTGATATTTCTAAAGTTATTATTATTTTTTTAATTATTATGGAAGTTTCAGACATACATAGGTAGAGAGGGCAGTGTAATAAACTGCTATTCCCACCACTCAGCGTTTACGGTTATCAACCTTTTCATATACAGCTCTCTCCTGTTGGATTATCTCCTGCTGGATTATCTTAAAGTAAATTCAAGCATTTTAAATTTAGCAATGCATTTCATATGTAACTAGAAAATGTATATTTTTAAGAAGAAAGCTCATGAATATATTTTTAACTTACTTTATAATGAAACAGATGGAAGCCATTTATAATATTTAGAGAGCGGTGAGTTTCAATCACAGAAATAATAAAGTCTAGATCTTACAGTGGAGTTGTCTTTGGATATATTCTATCCAGTTTTTCCCTTAAAGTCTATAACGCCCTGAATAAAAACACAGATAATTGAAAAGTATGTCATGAATGTTATAAACACAAGAGAAATAGCAAAAGAACATAATCTGAGGCTAAACTTAATTATCTGAATTGAGAATTTGTTGGAAATGAAAAGTTTATGTAATGAAAGACAATTTTACAGTCTTATGTATCAACTCAATCTGTGAGACACTACTTAGTATTTATATTGCAGCTACTACACATTATAATATAACAGAGACTATACTATAATGAGGACTTCGTATTTTAGTTGTAGTCCTCTAGAGATTTTCTAAGCGCACATGGGTCCCCATCTTCAATTCAGTAAGATAACTAATAAAATTATATCCAAAGTTCCCATTAACTTTATAAAATCATACAGGGTTAGAAAAAGTGTTTTCAAAAGGTTAAATATTAAAAAAAAAATAGAATAATACAAAAAGCAGTTTGTACTATTGTCACTGGTTCACTACCCAGTACTATGGAAATGTGGACGACCTTTGTTACTACTTAATTCTTTAACAGGTATTTTTTGTTTATAAACTTTCTTTTTAATATGTCAACATTTCTGAAACAAAACTGAAAACAAATGTGGAAAAAAGGTGGTTTAGGTTTTGAATTAAAAGTATTAGTTGAGGAAAATCTGTGTATTTTATAGAAAGGTCTCACTGTTCTGTTTTTTATTTTGTATGTCACTACTTAAAGTGAAAAGCCCTAAAAAGCCCTGACAATTTTACACAATTCAGAGACTCTACCACTGAAGCGATGACAGGGAGAAAATAAAAAGTATTCGAACCACTGAAGCAAACCAGAAAGGTAGCCAGTGAAGGCTGACTGGGATTTCTTAATTTTCTCAAGTGATGTGAACGGCTCACCAACTTCTACCATTCCTACCGGGTGATTTTTAATAAATTGAGAATATGGAGTTGCTGAAAAATCAGCAAGCTTCTGGTCTGAGTAAAGAAGGACGTGAGCGACTTTCACTCCTGCCGAAAGCACGACAAATCCCCAGATAAACCTCAACAACGCACATTTCTTTAAAACCACAGCAGAGCTGCAAACACACACACACACACACAAGAAGCAATTGAACAGGAAGAGGCGGCTTTCATATCTTGGCCCAGGCACTGAGCTTGGAGAAGTGTGCTCACCAGAGAAGGGCAGTCTGCCAGGCAAGAAGAAACCAGACAGACTCTGGTTTTATCTGTGGGCTCACTTGGGTTTAACTCTGGAGGAGCTCCAAATGCAAAGATAATCCTCCCTGTTAAGCCACTGTCCCACACACGGACATTTTAAGAATCGGCAGAGGCTGGGTATATGGACGAGCTCCCCTGTGGCACAGCACTGGAGGAGAAGGGTCAGCCACAGTCAAAGCTGGTAAGATGATGGCAGCTTTTTAAAGCTGCCCTAAGCCAAGTGTGGGATAGTGTGTCAGTCTCAAATAGCTGAGAGCACTGCACAGAAGGGGTCTTCACACTCACACGGGTTTCTACAGACCTCTGTCAGGTACAGTAAGTCCTCACTTAGCATCACTGATAGGTTCTGCAACTTTAAGTGAAACTACATATAACAAAACCAATTTTACCCCAGGGTAATTGATGTAAATAAGTTCCTATGGCATCTCATCAGCTTTGTAAGGAAATGATGTTGAGTGAAACAAAGTTACTTGAGGACCTGCAGTACTCCTAACAAGACTGGGGCAGAGAGGGAGACTGGAGAGAGCCCTCCTCAGCGGTGCAGGGGTGCAGAGGAGCAGGGGAGCAGGGGGGCAGGGGTGCAGGGGTGCTGGGGTGCAGGGGATGACAGGGCTGTGGGAGTGAGGCAGAAAGCACTGCAACTTCCTTGGACTCCTTTCTTCTTTGGAAAAAGACCTTATGCCAATGAAGGAGGGACAACAAACCCTCTAGGCAACAGGGTTCCAAGGAGGTGATCAGCAGTCATGGGAAGGGAGGAAGCTATCTGCAGGAGACAGGTACAAACCCCACCTCCTTCTCCAGACTCTACAAACTAATGAAGCAAGAGGCTTAAGCAGCTAGAGAAAGTGCAGCAAGTGTCCACAGGCCACCAGAAAGAACAAACTGTGATTGGGAGAAACTCTGTGTCTTGGGGAAGGACAAAAGAGTTTTGTGTCTATGCCAAGGAGAGGTCTCTTAGGCTGGGAGAGGGGCAGGAAACACCTGCCCAAGACCCATTGCGAGTAAAAGGCAGGCGGGAGAGGCAGGAATGCTACATAATTCTCTAAGATTTAGGTGTACATGGTCTTCCCAAAACTGAAGCTGAGCATGAACAGAGAACTGCACCCGGCCTCCACCCCCAAACACAAGCCTAGCACAGCATGCTAAGTAACAGCAGTCTTCCTCTGGGGAAAGAGCAAGAGTGTGGAGATGCACTCTCACTGCGGGCGCAGATGTGCAGGGATGGCTGAAAGCTGGGGGTGGGGCAGTAATACCGACGACATCCCTTAGCACAGCAGCCCTATGTACTAGGCAATGGCAGCCCCGTGCCAGAGAACTGGAAGTCTGTGGCTCACTGAATGAAGCAAAACCCCATTCCAGCTCTGCTCCTGAAAGTCCTCGCTTAAGTTCAACCTCACATACTAATAACCCAACAGAAGAGGCAATCCTATGCTGATGTGTAAGTACTGCCGTAGTCCCTAATGTTCACACATCCAGCATTCAATCAAAAATTACAAGACTCATACATGAAGCAAACAAACAATGCCCCAGGCAACCCACTGTTTAGAGACAAAACAATCAAGAGAGACAGATTAAAAGATGCTTCAGATGTTGGAACTACCAGATAGGGACTAAAAAAGTAACTAGGATCAAAGTGTTAAAAGGTGAACAACATCAACAAGCAGATGGGAAGTTTCAGCAGAGAAATGGAAACTTATGGAAATGCTAGAAATTAAAAAGACAGTATTGGAGATGAAGGAGTCCTTTGATGGGCTTATCAGCTTCTGATTCATCTAAGGAAATATCAATAAATTTGAAGAAAGGCCAATAAAATTTACCCAAACTGAAACACAAAGAGAAAAAATACTGTGGGGAGAGAGGAAACAGAGCATCCAAAAGCTGCAGGAAATTATCAAATGGTCTAAAATACATGTAATTGGAGTTGTAGAAAGTGGAAGGAGAAACAATGAGGCAGGAGAAATATTTGAAGACATAATGACCAAGAAACTCAGACAACCCCAAGCAGGATACTCAATATTTAACACATCATAGTCAAACGGTTAAAAAAGCAAATATAAAGCGAAAATCATGAAGGCAGCTGGAGGAAAAATTAACTTATAGTATCAGAACAGTGGCTGAAATGACATCATTCTTTTCCTGGGGTGGGAAAGTGGATGTCTAGAAGACTGACTCCAAAGGAAAAAAGAAGACTTTCTGGAAATGTTCTATACCTTGATTGTGGTGGGAGTTACACAAGTGTATACATACATCAGAATTCATTAAACAGTACACAAAATATGTACCTTTTGTTGTGGATAAATTATGCCTCAATAAAGCTAAATTTCTAAAGTCTATAAACTAATCCAATTCATTAATGTTTCAAACAATAAACAGACAATCCTGTTCATGAAAATATTCTGTATCCCTTATAAATAGTTATGTTGGTCATTCTACAATCTGATTATTAGGAAGAGATCAAAACAGTTTATTACAAAACCCAACTTTTTAGATGTAGCTTTAGAGCTTCGAGAAACCTATGCTATTCTAACAGGGCCAATACAGAGGATATAGGTAACAACATTAATAATCCAGTTAAACTGAATTAACCTTATGTTACTAGCAGGTTGCAAAGCAGGTGGTAGAACTGGTGTCTGAATCCTTTAAAAATGAGTATAACAAAAGCAATATAAAAATAAACAAAGTTATGGGAGCTAGAAGCAGTCCAAATTTTATCTGGATAAAAATTCAAGATGGCTTTCATTTAAAAAAAAAAACTTACTGAAAATTGTAAATGGAAGAAGCCAGAATTCTCTCATTTGTCTATTTTCCATACCAGTTGTTATTTTTCATTACTTTTATCATGAATGCAAACAAGAATTGGGAATATTTATTCGCTTAACATTCACACTCTAAATTTTATAACCAGTTGGCCAAAATGTATTCAGTCTAGTCATGACCATAATTTGAGTTGACTATCCCCCTGAACATGCATATCATGTTTTGCCTCAGGAGAGAAGGATAGAATTAACTCTGGAGAAGAGTCTAACACTGGTCCAAACAGTCTGTCTGCAATGTTTTTTATAGAAGAATTCCAAATAAGTATATTCTCCTCTGTTAAGCAGGGGAGTTTACCTTGAATGAGGCCTGGGCTTAGAGACTTGCTTCCAAAGAACAGAGTATGAAATGGAGAAAAATAGTAACTTTACAGTAGAACTATGAGAAACCTATGCTTTTCTATTGTTTAGGTAACCAAGGTTAACATCACCAGCGACATTATCCCTGATGTGATGTGATGAAAATACTTGTTCATCTCTGTGAGAGTCTTTCTCCAAACCCACAACCCCAGTCTAGTCATGGGAAAACACCAGACAAACCCAAATGGAGGAATATTTTGCCAAATAGTTGGCCAGTATTCCTCAAGATTGCCAAGGTCATGAGAAATAAGAAAAGACTGAGAAATGTCACAAACCAGAAGAGACTAATAATAAGGCATGATGTCTAAATGCAATGTAGTATCCTGGATGGAATCCTGGAACAGAAAAAGGACAGCAGTCGAAAAACTGGTGGAATCCAGATCATCTGGAGTTTAATTCATAGTAACGTACCAATGTTGGTTTCTCGGTTTTGACAAACGTATCATGGCAATGGAAGATGTTAATATTACAGGAAGCTGGGTGAGGGTTATACAGGATCTCTCCATATTATCTTTGTCACTTATCTGTAAATCTAGGGATTGTTCCAAAACAAAAAGTTTATGAACCAACAGAAAATAAACTAAAAAACAAAAGTAATATGTCCAGCAAAAGCGATGACGGAGTGGGTTCCCTGCTCTGTG